TTGAAATTCCCCAAATACGACAGAGATAACATGGAAAAAGAGTCACACTGAAAAGGCAGGATGTCATATATAATTCCTGTGACATTCCCAAATGGTATAGTAATTTACCAAAGCCATTAACATCATGCTTATAATCATAAACAACCATAGAAATCCTGTTAAAATCTTTAATCAATGAAAAGACTGAAAATGGCTGATTAAGAAAAGACATTATCAGCAAAGCCTTATGTGTTTGGTTATTTTGAAAGAAATACACTCTCTACATTCCAGCGGCAGCTTTGAGTCAGGCACACTGGTGAGCTTTTATTTGATTTAGTCAGAACACCCAGCTGGAAGAGACATCTGGGGAAAATGAAGAAGGCGGCAAGTAAGTTTGCTCTGACTGAGCGCCTTCCCCCATCAAAACTACAGCTGGACAGGGTCACCAAACCCACCAGCAGCGGAGAGTACCTTTTGCAGAAGAAAGAAAATTATTTTGATGAGCTCAGAGCTAGCTAGATACTGGTGTTTGTACACCATTGTCTACAGCCAATCTAGTGTCTCACATACAAACAAGAAAAGACGTGTAAGGGACAAATAGTCATCCCTGAATCTTTCCTCCTCTTCTGTCTGTCTTTTCCTGTGGATCAGTGAAACTCATTGTCCGTATTCCCCTGGGAAGCTACAGCCACAGACCTAGCGAGAGAGTGAGGATTGCTCTGCAGCTGGGAGCTGGCACAAAAGCCAAACTTCATGCAATTGCTTTAGCTTGAAATAAGGTTGGTAGATCTCGTGTCTGTTTTGAGACATTTGTTGGATATACATATGTACTTAAAAAAAAATTCTGTGCTGTCCCTGTAATAAAGTCCTTCAGGAGAGAACATGTAGCTCAGGTAGTTTTTCCAGAAGAGGAAAGTCTCTCCCCTTTCTCCAGGTGCAAATGTCAGTAACCCCAGCTCAGCTGTGGCTGCGTTGATAAAGAGGATCTGGAGAGGGGAGAGAGAATTTAGGAGGCCCTACAGCAAAGGTACCTGTGTGGTTAGCCTGCTAGGCCAGGTGTTCCAGGTTCTTCAGGTTTTGGGAGGTAAATCTTATTAAATCTCTGCAATTGCGCAATGGGGAAGAGTAAGCTTTATGAAAAGATAGCACATTCTTACAATACTGGTTGAGTCACAAGTGTGTGAGATAGAGAGCTAGATAAAGGTACTGAAGTACAGCTTACTGTTTGGAAAGAGCTGCTGTAGATGAGGTCTTTTCTTATCTTTCTGTGCTTAGACTACTCAGATATTCTTGGTCCTTTAGTCTACTTTGCTCCCAACTCACGGAACCTGGATGCAGGTGTTAAACAAGGAATATATCCTCCAAAGGTAATGGCTGTCCTATAAAATAGAAATGTCTTATTCTCAGTTACACTGTCTGCAAAGCATAACATTGGAGCTTTGAAAGCAATGGAAATTAAATATAATTAAGCCAATTACGTTCATTTGCACAGTGGAGCTTTGAAAGCAATGGAAATTAAATATGATTAAGCCAATTACATTCATTTGCACAGTTAAATCTTTTGGATTGTAGGATTGATGTACATAATGGAGGATTTACATTTTAAATGGTATGTTCTGAAGCCTTATCTTTACATTAATTATTCATATTGCTATAATACAAAACCTGAAGTTTGGTCATCAAAAGGCCAAGAAAACAAGAGGTTCATTTCTTGGAGTATTGATTCTAAATTTAAACTATATTGTCTTCATGGTTGCAGATGGAAACATGGGCCCGGTTTTATTTGCAGTGCTTCATTCTTCAGTTCTTGTGTTTCACTAGGGCATTATAAGAGCTGACAATTTTAGTCAGTATTTTCAGCTTTGCTTAATGAGCAATTCTTAGTTATAAAATCACCATCAACATACCTATTGTCATGTAGGTCTTTGATTTGGTACATGCCATAAAGCTTCCTTGAAACTATTCTTAATTAAACTAAGGAAAACTCCCACATTAGGAAAGAGCAGAAATATGTCAGAGACATGTACTGCTCAGTACTTGGAGCAGTGTGATAACAGGTAGAGTTTGTACACATCTATCTCCCCCACATAGACTAAAACTTAGAGACACCTTTGCTCCCACCTGTACTGAATCTGCTTGAAGCTCATCAGCTGTGATATTGAGCCTGCTAAAGTCAGAGTCTGAGGTAAAATGTTTGTTAACCTCCAAGGGAGTAGCTACAGCCTGTGGGTAAGTAAACCCTTTCCTTCAGCCTGAAAAGGAATTCTAACTGATTTCTACAGTAGCAAAGGTTTATAGCTTAGTGTATTTTTAGTTTTAAAAGTGACGCTTGCAATGGTGATGTATACAACTATGATTTGTTTACTTCTATGAAATTCCTTCTATGTAGCACCTAATGTGAACTTTGGGAAGAAAGACTACAAGGTGCTAGAACTTCGCTAGCAACACTTCTCTAAATGTGCCTCATAATTACTGCTATTGAATTCTAAGCCCTGTATACTCAATTTTCTAACACTTTGTAATGGAAACATAGGGTGACTCTTCTTGATAACATAATAACCATAATTATTTGGATTTAGTGAAACAGTTTATTAATGTCCTCTGTTAATTTGTGGTGTGGGTGGCACAATGTTGGTTGGATGTTTTGAGGGGGTAGGGTGTGTCCCCCACAGCTCTGACAAGTAGATTCCTACAGTTTTAAAACTGAAATTTTGAATATTCTTTAGCTTGGCACCAGATAGCTGTGAAGACAGAAAGTCAAATTGTGAGTGTTTGTCAGTAGCCAATAAAGAAGTCAAATGGCACCTTTCTTATTCCGATTAATTCAGTTTAGCCTCATTTCTTGGAACTCAGAAGTAAAGTATGTGTCCGCATCGTAACCCATACAACAGTTTTCTGTGATGTTTTTGTAATTTCAATTGTAGAATTGCTGCAAGTAGAAATACTGACCATCCTAATGAAATTGAATGTCTTCTCAAAGTTGTTTGAAACAAAAATGTAATTCTGATGTGTTATTTCTTTTCTCTGTAAGGATTTAGCGTATAAAGCCCATTGTTTTCTTGGAAAGAGAGTTCTAAAACACAAAAATGTCATAAGTTTTTACTTTTTAGGCAGGAGGGAAGTATTTATTGCCTTTCTAAAGCACAGAAGTGTTTCTTCAAAGAAGAGGAAAAAATGTTTTCAAGTAATGTAAGCCAAAACTATTTTTCAAAAGCTAGTAATGTCCTATTTAATGTTTTGTTCTAATAATGAGCTTGCCTCTCCTCCTCTTTCTGCTCTGCATTCCAGAGTTCAGCAATGTGCGTGTGTGTAACTCTATCTTCTTGGTTTAAATATAATTATACTGAGAGAATGGGTTGGAAAGTGCTGCAGCTTCTTTCTGTATTATTATGAATGTATAAGAAATTTAGAAGAGGGAAGATCTCAGTGGATTTTCCATAGAGCAAGTGTTTGCAGCAAAATTATCTTTAATGAGTATCCTTGTTGAAGGTCCTTGAAAAAGAGGCAGGCTGGAAAGTGACAACTCCCGTTGGGACAGAGCTTCAGAAAATGTATGTGGGTGGTATGTACTGCTCATAAGAAAAGCCACAGAGGAAGCTATGCTAGGGAAAAACACCCTTTTCTAGAACATCAGTTCCATCTCATCTTGCAGTAAAGGAGTAGAGCTTCTATTTTAATCTTCCTTGAAAGTATTTTTCTCTTATTCTTCACATTTTTGGTTCAGTTTCTTCTTATATTCCTACCCTAGAAGACCTTATCAGCTGAGGCATTAGTCCTAGGGTATCTAGGTGTTAGCTTAACTCTTGAATAGTTGTTTGAGGCAAGTGTGGTTTTAGCTGATATGCTCAAAAACTACTCCCCACCTTATAAAAGGAATCTTTTATGGGTCCATAATCCATTTAATCTGGTTTTTCTTGTACACTGCGTAGTACTGTTGTTGGTACAGTAGATGTCAACATACTTCTTGGGGCTTCCATAAACAAGAACCTTTTGGTTTAACTCCTATATTTTGTATTCTTTTATATTAGAAATCAAAAGACTGGTAGTTCATAATATCTGTTTTATAGACAATTTGGCTGAAGGAAAAATGTGGACTTTGCTTTTGACTATAGATTTTTCCCATTCTTTAAATTCACCATTCCATGTATGTCGTGCATGCACGCATTTCCTTAGTCTGAGAGGCTTTCTTCCTTAGGTACCCAACGTGGCTGCTGGCACGTCATCTGTGATCCCTGACCCTTGCATCCTAGCAAGCTGTTGATTCTATCAAGCTCTTTTTTTAAATAAAAAGATATTAAAAAATTCTGAATCTCTTTGAGGGCAGGTAAAATTAACTCCTTGCTCAAGTTCATCTCAGCTGACAGACTCATTTTGAAATATATCCTGCTGTGCTGATGAGTGTTAGCCGTCACATCATAAAAAACATTTTTAACTGTACGTGATGGAGTATACCAAAATCTACTGGTAACGGTAAAGTCAAGGGCCAGTCAAGAATGTCTCAATGTATTTAAATAAGGAGGAAATCTCTGAAAAATCTTTTTCTCATGTTTCCAAACATCCCTCTTTGCTCTTTCAGGTTGTTTTCTTTAGCATTAGTTGTGAAGAGTGGTTAATGTGTAAAAATAGTGACATGCTGTTATTGGAAATAAGTTACATTGTGCATTTTTCTGTATGTCAGTGAGTGACTGGTTTGCTACAAAGGGACTGTGTTTATACATTTCACTTCCCCTTACTTGAGAAACCACCAGTTTTTATCTAAACTGTAGCAAATGTTCGGTTTCAAACATATTTGCCTAAATAGCACTGCACTTCTCAGGCCTCTCGCAGTATTGAGGCTTAAGGAAAAAAAAAAATTAGGGGGAAAAAAAAAAATATTGGACTATTAATGACGATTCTCTGGACCTGGCTGTGCTTTGTGCAGCAGCAGCTTTCCTTGGGGCAGAGCCGTGTCCATGCACAGAGCCCAGCCTTCGCCTGCCGCAGAGCAGACCCGACCCCATCCTGTAAGGGAAAGCCTGAGGAGCTGGTGTGCTCCCAGAAACTTTGGTGTGTCTGTGTGTGCTGGAGAGGGGGGAGAGAGGGAGACCTAGCGCAAAGGAGAGGAAGGCAGGGGAGAGCAGGGAGCTCGCTTCACGCGCTGCTGAAGGCTGTCAGAAGCAGACCGTAGGAGCAGCTCGCTGGCTGGTGTGCAATTTAAGGGACAACATTCATTGACTTTATTCTTTGAATTGCTGGAGGACAGATATGACATCCGACTGCTGCTTCTATATGTTCTTGCTTATCGGTACCAAGGGTAAGTGTATCCAGCTTTTTTTTCTTGTTTTGAACGTTGCAAAGCAGATAGCTGGTGAACTTCGGTAGTGGATTTTTTTTAAAAAACTATGATATCTCAGTGCTATTTTACAGTTCTTCATGGCAATTATTCTTTGATAGAATTGAAGTGTAATGCAGTCTCTCAAGGTTACTAGCTACATGTAAGGATTAAATATGTTTGTACTTAATGCTTTGAGAATTACTGTTAATGGTTATGAGCTGAAATTAAAAAATAAGAAACAGTTTAACCATTGCATAAATGCATGTTGTAAATATCTAATGAACATACAGATAGAACTGACTCATTTCAGATGCCACATTGAGTAGTATGCAGTGATACTGTGCGATGCTACTAGAATTGCTAGTTCTCAAAGTAGATTGTGTTCAGGCAATAGGAATTTTTACTGTCTGATTCAGCGTGGTAGGCAGTATAGCATGCAAAATGGAAATTGAATTAAATTTAAATTTTCCTTCATATATGAATCCCTTCAGTGTGGTGGGAGTTACCCCTGACCTTCTGCTTACTTCAGTAATGTTTTCTTCATTTAATTCAAGTACCCTGTTTGCAAGAGCTGCTTTTGACTTGGGTAAAGCTGTCCCTGTGAAGCTGCTGATACTGATATATGTGTTGGATTTCCTAGTCATTATCATTTTCTTTAGTTGTAATTTTGATATTAAAAATTTATTTCTGTTGTATTTGCAATGCTAAAATAATGTTTTATTGATTTGTAGATGAAATCAGTACCTTTTGCAATATCAACTACTTTATTAAACTAACAGGAGCATAAGGTTTAATTCTGCCACCTTCTTCTGCATTGAACGACAGTTTGTTCTCTCTCCTGCTTTTAAATTAAACATTCTGGGGTTTACATGTGATTACTATGCTGCTTGATTTGTAAGAGATATTGCCTACATTAGGAGTCTGGGAAATAGAGCTCCACTTACAGCTATTTTTGTAGTTGCAGAGCTTAGTTAAATCTGTGGAAAAACTCTAAGCAGTTCTATTAGGTTTTGGAGGAATACCTAATACGACAGCTGCAAGCATGAAAAAAACAGGGATATTAATGTATTTGGAATTAAGTTGGCTATGATAATGAGATCTTATCAAGCCTATGAGCTTCACATGCATTTGGGTTATCCATGAACAATAATCCAATATTTAAAGGAAATACTTCAAGATATGCAGAATAAAAGCTGAAGGATTTCAAACAAATTAAGCCTTTCACTTTACTGTTTTCTATATCAAGACAATAAAATGTTGAAACATTCATACAAGATGTGCAAATTATTATTGGCATAATTTCTGCTGGGTTAAATTAATCTCAGCAGTGGAATTTATAAAACCTACCAAACTATATTAAAGCTTATTGCAAAATAGGATAACAGATGAGGACTGTAAATGATGACAGGCCTTCTAGTATTATAGTTATGATGACCGTTACTTTTTTAGGTGCTTATTGGCTCATCATATGTAGAGTATTATAACACTTAGGAGAAAGCCACGTGGCTCATCTAGATTTGTTGAAGAGAGCAGCAGTGCAGCCATAGATTAAAGCATGTGCATGCCTGGAGTCTCTGTTGCCTGCCAGTGCTCTGTCTTGCACCAAAATGAGCTCCTCCTTAGTGCCGCTTCTCCTAACCCAGCTCAGTACAGTTTATATCTTCACTGCCTTTTCAGAGTTTTAGCTGGTAATCTGAATTGTAAGCACATCTACACGTTGGCTGATTTCATCTGATTTCATCCACACAATAGATTTAAGCTTTACTCAAGTCTTTAGGCTATCTGATATTAAACCAAAGATTCCTGAAGTAAGTATTGTTGTGCTTAGAAGTTGCATTTGTTGTTTATGGACTGCTGGAAATTCAGTTGTACAGTTTTGTTGTATTTTTTCTTTTTAATTTCTACACCTCACAGATGCTTCTAATTCTTAAAAAAACAAAATGAGAAACATCTAATGTACAAAAACTACTCTTGCCTGACCCATCCATATCAATTCAATCTACATCTGCATAGTTTTCCATTCAACAGCTAAAGTTGCACACAAATAACTCAATACCTCTTTTATTTTACTCCCTTCCTTAATTCTTAATTAAATTTTCTTATATGAAAACCTTTCCTTTCAAAATCCACATAATCAAACCACGTAGCTTTTTATGTACCAGCAGCTCTCAGCTACTGCCTGACTACTTTCCCACGTGGAATACACTAGACCAGGTAGAGGGTATCTTTGAAAACAAAGCACTGGTTCTCGCCAGTGCAGCAGCATCAATTGTCATGTGGAGAAAAGTAAATTTCAGACTGTGGTTGTGGAACTGGCAGCATTGACCGGGTAGCCAGGACAAATATCTGCCTGGATGGCTCGACCCCTTGCGAAGCGCGCAGGTTGGTTGGGCATGTGGCTGGCACTGCACTGGCTGCCGCATCTTCTCTCTGGTACAATAATCGACTTTAATCACTGCAACAACTATAGTGTACTTTTGTGTCTTCAGAGTCACTTTGTATAGCTTTCTGGGCACAAAAACTATTTTGTCCTCCTGGACTTTGTCTAAATGACAGACCCACAAACAATTTGTTTATCAGTTATTAAGAAAAACAGAACAACATTAATATCTGAAACTATTCAAAGTGGATTCCAAATGGGATGTGTCAGGCTCCTCATGGAAAGCAAATGTGATGGTTACTATTTTAACCCTGTATGCTCTGTGCCCCTACCTAAATAGGATTTTTCCAATTCTATTTCTGCTGGTGTCTGCAGTTCCCCTTCCCTCCACTTTCTGTTATTCTCCTAGTATATTTTTTTTCCTTCCCTTATCCTCACTTCAAAATGCCAAGGAAAGCTTTCTTCAAACCTTCTGAAACTTGTTAGCCCTTCTGGTGCTGCACGAAAGTGACAGTTGTTTTCAAGGCCAACATCTCTTATACCAAGTGCTTTCTGTCAAATGTGGGAAAGAGACCATCACAAATCTTTTGGGGAATTGCAAGTTTATGATTGTGCAGGATAGTGCTCTTGTTTACATAGTTTGTAACAAATTTTAAGATCCCTTCCAGATTTGTAAATAAGAAAGTGAAATTACTTCAACCTTTGCAGAAGTTCAAATAATCATTGTGTAATAATAATTTCTGGTTAATTTCTCTTTGCGTTCATTTAACTTGAGCATTAATCAGACTAGCTTCCCTGTGGCTAGAAGAATAATGTGTATCCTGTATATCTGTGTGTACAACAAAAATTAATATCTTTACAGAAAATTAGGGATGAAGATGGTTTGTGAGGAAAGCTTCCTCTAATGTCGGTTAGAAGGTAGTAAAAAGTCTACACAGTGATAAACTGAAGTAGTGAAAGTTAAACCATCGTCAGCTGCAGAGTCTGGTCTGCCTGCAACTGCTGCATGGGCAAGGCTGCTCACACCTCTCCATTAATAGCACCCAGGGCTACACAAATTGCTAATCTCTCTTGACTGTTTCTAGCAGCTCTACCAGACTTGAGCCCTTTGCTCTGAAATTTTATGTGCATTGTGGACTTTTTTTCACCTTGAGCAAGAAGAAAAGCAAAACTTTACCAAAATAATTTGAATTTTTAACCAAGTGAGGAATTGGTACTTTGCCTATATCAAACGACTCTAGGAATCTTACGCTATGCAGTGCCTTTTCTTAAATGGATAAGGGCTTCTGAAGTATTCCTCTAGAAAATCACTGTGTCTGAGAGATAGTCTTCTGACAGGTCATCCCACTAGAGCTAATGAGCCTGTTCAAGTCTAATTGCAGTAGTATAAGAATTAACCTCCTGTAATGGGTGTTCCTGTGAGCTAAAGAGCAGTGTGAAAGTCATCAGAGGAACTGTTACCAGTAATCTCATCAAGTGGTGCCGTAATTCCTATACCTTGAAGCCATTAAGTAAGACTTTGAAATGAGGGGTTCAAGGTAGGGACCTGTAGGAAGCTGAGAGGATCAGGAAGGCATTGTGTCTGAAAAAGAGAGAAGGGGAAAATCTATTGGGAAGGACTGACCAAGGAGACTGAAAGTAGAGGCTAAAGGGAGAGGATGATGAGACAAAGGAACAGAGTGGTGAGAGAAAAGGCTAACGCTGCTTGGAAAGGGAAAATGGAAATTGGAAAGGCTGTTAGTCTGGGAGGGTAGAGACTGGGGAAAAGGATGTGTGAGAGGGGAGCCAGCAAGCCGCAATGAATTAATTAAAGGCAAAAGGAGTTACGAGAGAGTGGAGTGTCTGAAGAATAAATTCAGGATGGTGAGACCAGAACTAGCACCCTGTGCAGACAGAGGGTCACAAGAGGATGGGAAGCACGTAGTGATTAGGTTAGAAAGGATGGAAGGGAGGTAAGCAGCCAGGGAGAGGAGAAGATGAGACTGAGTAGAAAAAGAAGCTGTGCTTAGTGGGGTGAGGACTGTGCTACAAGGCTGGAAGGAAGGTCATGGTTGTCCTGTTGCTTACTGTCTCCTGCTGTGTAACACCTCTGCTCAGAGGCTGGTAATTAATGTTATCGGATCACCCCACCCTCTCAGATGCCAAAGGTCTGGAGAGCTAAAGGTTCTGAACCAGAGATGCTGCAGGGTGTCATGTTTTGAAAAGTCAGAAGATAATTGATTTTCTCTTTTAATATTCTAGGATGCTACCTATATCAAAGAACATTATTAATTTTGCAAACTCAGTGCTTAGGAATTGAGATACAATCTTAAGTTGTCCTATGTGCCACATTTTCTTCATGCTATGGCTCCACAAGAACTTGTGCTTTGTGTATGGTATTCAAAGAATGAATCAGAAACATATAGTGAACTATGCTACCTGCGTTACCCCCTATTCATTTGCTGTAGAAGGTAACGATAAAATGTGAATGAGTTTGGGGTTTATAAAATAATGGCCATGTGATGAAGGTAACTGAACTCTGCTGTGGAAAACTGATTTTTTCTTTTTTTTTTTCCTGCTTCTTGCCCCAGAGAGTGATGCTCTAAATGTGTCATAAATG